GGGCATGGCGGGGAGGTCGGGGGAGTCGAGGGGGTCGAGGAGGTCGAGGTCGGGGGCGAGGTAGACGGAGAGGTCATCGGGGGAGAGGCGGAGGAGGGAGAGGGCGTGGAGGAAGGGAGAAGGAAAGACAGGGAGGTCAGAGGGCTGCAATGAAGGGTCGAGGGTGTACAGGAGGAAGGGGCTGGTATGAAGTATGATGGTCATGACAGCAGGTCTGGAAGCTTGCGTGGTGCTTGTGACCTGTCAGCAAAGATCGCGTTGAGCAGAGAAGAGGAGGACAAAGGGACGGACGAAGAAGACAAGGGGCGATAGGCAGGCAGTGACTGCTTTGCTTCTTTTTTTTTGACATGTATCGATATCCGATACGAACAAGAGTCGTTTCGACTCGGATGCCGTAAGGTAACACTGTGTCCTCGGCTATGTCCGTAGGGGCCACGACGAGCTGGTTCTTTGTAAAGCAGGATCGATCAGCCGCCGAGACGAAGGAAAGCGATTTCGAGAAAGCTTCTAGAATGACAATGCCGCCGAGGCGAAAAGAAGCGATTTCAAAACAATGAAATCCCAACCCGAGGGTTGGAAGGGATTACACGAGCGCCTGCTCCTGCTACTAGTCCTGCTGCTGCTGCTGCTGCTGCTTCTAGTGCTGCTTCTGCGCCTTCTCCTCCTCCTGCTGCTGCTCCTGTCCCAGACTCTGACCCAGCCCCTGCTCCAGCTGCTGGTGCTGCCCCTGCTCCGGCTCCTACTGCTGCCCCTGCTATAGCTACTGCTACTGCTACTGCTCCTCCTCCTTCTGCTCCTGCCCCTGCCGATCCTGATCCTGCTGCTGCCCCTACTCCTCCCTTCTTCTGCCCCTGCCCCTGCCCCTGCTCTTGCCCCTGCCCCTGCTCCTGCTCCTGCTCCTGCTCCTGCTGCTGGGGCTGTCCCTGCCCCTGCTGCTGCTCCTCCTCCTCCTCCGGGGGCCTGCCACTGCCCCTGCTCCTGCTCCTGCTCCTGCTCCGGCTCCTGCCCCTTCTTCTGCTCCTGCTCCTCCTCCTCCTTCTCCTGCCCCTGCCCCTGCTCCTGCTCCTGCTCCTGCTCCTGCTCCTGCTTCCATCCCTGCCCCTGCCCCTGCCCCTGCTCCTGCTCCTGCCCCTGCTCCTGCCACTTCCACTGCAACGCTCCTGCTCCTGCCCCTGCTGCTGCTGCTAGCCCTGTTTCCAATCCAGCATCTGCAGTATTTCTGGTCCTCCCATCTATCTCTGTTTCAGCTTCCATCCGCAGATTCCTGCCTTTCTCCCCTACTCCTCCTTCCCGACCTCCTTGCCCTTCCTCCACGCCCTCTTCCTTCTCCGCCGCCTCTCCCCCGATGACCTCTCCAGCTTGCTAGCCCCCCTGCAAACACGCGCGGCAGACAGGCCAGCTCTGCCGAGAGCGCAAACTCAAGTCGGACAAGTTGCAGCGGAGGAGGCGGAAGCTGAGGGCTCTGGGCGAGAGCTGCCTGGTTTGCTTATGTCTTTCCACTGGCCTTGTGTTCTTAAGGGTCAATATGAGCTGGGTCGAAGCTAGGTATCAAACACCCTCATCCCTGAGCATCTCAGTCGTGTAGCCATCATAAAGCAGGCGAGGCGATTATTCTTTACATATCTGCAGTATGTGGTGATAAACGTGGCATGGTAGCACCAATGAAGAAGAGCGTCAACCATGCCAAGCACCGACCTTGCTCTCAACCCTCGGATCCTCTAGATAGAGTGCTCTTCTCACTGACCAGGCATGCTCCTTGAGGAGATGCAAATCAACACCATACTCTGTTGTTCATGATCAACACCACCCAAGCGCGCCTCATTCACGGCATGCCTGCGGTCTTCTGCAGCTCCAGGCCCGCCCTCACACTCGATCCTCCCTACAGCGTCGACAAGCAAGCTTCCCTCGCGCTGCTCCAGCTTCCCTTTCAAACCTTCGCACACTCACTGACAGCTCACATACGCCCGCCAGCAACCTCCGCCCTTGCTTCCCTGCTTGCCTGCTGCCCGCAAGCCACCGCACGCTCTCTCAGCGCGCTACACCGGTGTCAGGGACCTCCCCTCCCCTCCCCTCCCCGAGACAAGCACAAGACCCTTTACTCATACACTCTGATTGTAGACTATCTGTCTATTAAGCTCTCCTCGTCCTCCGCCGCTTTTCCTCAGCTTGTCCGCATCGGCCCGTCGAGACACGGCCAGGCTATACCAAGAAGCCCTCCGCTATCTCGGTCAGCTCCTCGCTTCCCTCTATCCAGCCGCTGGCTTGCCCCCTCGCATCCGTCGTTGGCTCTGCCCCCGTCCCTCCTCGTCTCCTCGGCTTCCGCCCCCTCCGCTGCCCTGCCTGACTCACACACTCCGTCCTGAAGTGCACACACTGCCCGCATGGCCGACGCTCGTCGCACTTGAGCTTCCGCTGCCGGCAGAACTGGCAGGCCTCCCGCGCGTAC